TTTAAGGTTTTCAAAGTGTCTTACACACAACAACCCCGTGAAGTTAAATGTTGTTGTTATACCCATTTTACAGATGAAGTTATTTGCACAGGTGCATATAGCTAGTAAATGCTTATTATGTGCCAGGAACTGTGGTGACAGAAAAAAAAATAGTTCCTCGTGCTCAAGGAACATTCTATTGGAAGCAAACATAATGTACATAGAACACTAAATATAAAATATAATTTCCACAGAGAGAGAGAACAAGGAATGAGAGAGGGCAAGGTGGAAATCAAGATAGAATTCTCTATGACATAGAAAGCATGCACAATAAGTCTGAAAAAAATGGGCTGGAGTCGAATTGAACATTTTAAGAGTCAAAGAGAGGCATTTGCATTGGGAAGTGACTATTGAGGGGAAGTGACAAGGTCACATCTGTGCAAAATATCAATTTGGTAGCTTTGGGAAGGACAGACTGGAGAAGGGATATACTAGACAGTAGCTATTAAGGCTATAAAAAAGGCTATTTAGGAGACCAGCCCATAGACAAGGACTCAAACCACAGAAGAGGACCTGAGTGGGAGCAAAGAAAAAGGGGATGAATGTGAGATTATAAATGCAGACTTAGACTTGGCAACAGATTTCATGGTGAAAGAGGCAGGGAAGGAGAAAAGTTCAAGGTAACTTTAGAGATAGGAGCTTTCAACTGAAATAGGGAAGCTTGGAAGAAGGGGTGGAATGGGAAGATAATTTTGTTTCAACTATGTTGTGTTTTTAATGTTCCCAGCCCCTTAAAACATAGCAAGTGCTTAATGTTTGTTGAATGTAATGTTGGCCTGTCAAGTGATAAAGATCTCATGACAAATTGAGAAGCTGCTATACACTAGTGAAAGAGACAGTCTATCAAATTGTAAATACATCAAAATGTTAAAACTTCTGAAACTCATAATTTTTTTTTTGCTTTTATTTAAATTGAGAGTGCAGTTTGAGGACAGAAGGTTTTTCTTTCAATGCAATAGGGATTATTATAGTCTAAATCTAGAACTGAAAGACAGCCATTGCTGAAAAGACAAAAATCAGTAACTGCTAATTAAGTAGAGTAAGGTGGCAACCATTTGTTAAAGGGCTAAGCTATCACCACAGAGAGTGATGTTAGATGTGGAATAAATCTTAAATTAGGTAAAGTGACCTAAGAATATCACAATCCCAATTTCTAGTAAAATAATGATAAAAGATGCAGTATTTCTCTATTAACACTGAAGTGTCAGCTATAACTTCTCCTGGATTAGGACTATGTCTTTTCCTTCTTAGTGTCTAACAAAGTTTGTAAATTTATAATCCACTTGTTTTTGAGTTTCAAAGCTGGGGGGGAAAACCATCCCAACTATTGTCCTAGTGGAAAAAAAACCTAGTTTTTGAACTTTTGTCTAGTTATCTCAAATGGACAGGAAATTCAAACCATAAAGCAACTGTCCAAGTGTAGCTTTTAATAATCTGAACAATAAAACTGTGTTAAAGCGCTGCCATGTCACCTAATGATTACCTGTTCAGCCAGAAACCCTGTCTGAATTTCTTTAGCATTGCTGTTCTCATACTGTTACAATGGAGTATTATAAAAATCCAAATACTTAACAAGTACCTACTGTGTACAGAGCAATGATACTAAGTGTTAGAAAAGCTATAAAGACACAATACTTGTCCTAATGGGGCAATATGATACATATATATGGACAAGTGAATGAGAGGTGTTGCAAAATGCTGTGGGGAGTCAACAGGAAAAGGTTATTACCAATAGGAGTAGGAATAAAATCAAGCCATTTAGGTGCAACCACATAGTATGCATTCACTGTGTTCTTGTTGAGGCTCTGGAGTAAATTCTAGTTAAATTCCTGCAATCAACACCAAGTCGTATGTAAATATGGAAGCAAGTAACATCAGAAATACATACCAGGCACATGTAGGTGCTAAACTCTCCTTGAATAAAATGTTAAAAAATATTTGAAGGTCACTTAAAAGAGAGATATAATAACAAAACTGAAGTAAAAGAAAAAAATACACTCAGTCCTAAAACCATTTTGTAGTAAGAACGCACATATGACAGATGGGAACTGAGAGCCAGCCAAGAGGGTGTGGCCACTCTTCTTAAGGTGACTCCTCCTGGCTAAGTGGCTAATTCTCTGGATTGGGAATAGTAGTGGCCTCCACATCACTGATTCTTCTTCCAGCCAGGGCCTCGAAGTCATCATCCCAGGAGCAACCTTTGTGAAGAAAGAGCCAGCCACTATCCACCATCCTCACCAACTGCCATCTATGGGGGCAGGTAAGCTAGCCTTGATGAAGCAGCAAAGTACCCTTGAAGCAGACAGGGACAGCATGTGCAAGGCCAAGTCAAAATCACTACTCCTACCCCTGACCACTACCTCTCCAGTCCTAATGGAGATAGCCTAGGACCCTGAACCTAAGCTCCTTATGAAAAGCAACCTGTCTCCAGATGACTGACCCTGCTTCCAGCGTGGGCCCCACAGTGATCACTGAGAGAAGCAATCCCAGGGAAAAAGGGGCCCCACCTTCCTAGCCCTGTACCCTGCATACCACTATACCAACTAGCATCAATGGCAAGGGAAGCCATCTAAGAGCCCCTGGGGTGGCAGCATCTCTCAACCTACTGGCCCTGCTTATGTTTATCATCCTGGGAAACAATCTATGTGGAGATGCAACTTTGCAACCACTTCAATACCCACAGCTATTGAAGACCCAGAAAAGATCATTGTACCCACTAATGTCCTGGCACTGACAGAATCATTCAATATGAGAAGCATGAGATTATGTTAATGGAAATAACATTAAAAGTGATGCATTAGCATCTCGTTTGTTGATGCATTTAAAGTTCACAGGACCTTTCCATCTGACTTCTGGCTGAAACTTCCTTTAAGTGCTATCTCCTATTAGAATTTGAGATCCAGGAGCGCAGCTACAATGGTAACGTAAAAGCAGTGACTTGCTTGAGCTCTCCCCCAAAGCCCTCCAAATACCTGTGAAAAAATGACTCTAAACAAATTCTAGAGCAGCAGAAGCCACAAAAAGAAAGAGTAAAACAAATGTCTAGCCCAAGACAACCTGGATGGTCGACGGGAAAAGTCTGTTGCACCGGGCTGAGAGAGTTTAGTGAGGGCCTTGAAGACAAAGATGGGGCCCCAGTAAACTTGGAGCAGGCCTTAGGGGACTGAATCACTGGCAGACTTTGGAGGGGAAGAAGGGGGAGGTGAGAGGGAATGAGTGAATCTTACTCTCATCTGATTTGGCTTAAGGAGCGAACACCACACACTCAATTGGGTAAGGAAATCTATCTCAGTCCTCTGGAGACAGGTTGCTTTTCATAAGGAGCTTAGGTTCAGGGTCCTAGGCTATCTCCATTAGGACTGGAGGGGTAGTGGTCAGGGGTAGGAGTAGTGACTTTGACTTGGCCTTGCACATGCTGTCCCTGTCTGCTTCAAGGGTACTTTGCTGCTTCATCAAGGCTAGCTTACCTGCCCCCATAGATGGCAGTTGGTGAGGATGGTGGATAGTGGCTGGCTCTTTCTTCACAAATACAGGAAAGTAGGGGGAAAGAGGATAAGAAAGGGGGGGATGACAGAAGTGAGGGCTGACTGGGGGAGGTGGTAATCAGAAGCAAACACTTTTGAGGAGGGACAGGGTCAAAGGAGAGAATAGAATAAATGGGGGCTGGGATAGGATGGAGGAAAATATAAAGTCTTTCACAACATGACTATTATGGAAATGTTTTAAATGACTACATATGTATAACCTGTATTGAATTGCTTGCCTTCTCAATGAGGGTGGGTGGGGAGAGAGGAAGGGGGAGAATCTGGAACTCAAAGTGTTAAAAACAAATGTTAAAAATTGTTTTTACATGCAACTGGCAAATAAAACATACAGGCAATGGGGTATAGAAATTTATCCTGCCCTATAGGAAAATTGAAAGGGAAGGGCATAAGAGAAGGGAGGGCAGATGGGAGAAGAGGCATTCAGAATTCACTCTGTCTTGGGATGAGGGGAGGGGAGAGATGAGAAAATTTAGAACTCAAAATCTTGTGTAAGTGAATGTTGAAAACTAAAAATAAATTTGAAAAATGTTAAAAAAAATGAAAGGATGGGAGCTGGACTGTTATGCTGGAATTCAAAAGACTTTGCAATTCAGTGGGTGGTTTAAGAAGAAAAGTCAAAGAAAATTCCAAGGTTATATGCTGGAGTGCCTGGCAGAATAGTGAAGCTATTGACAGAAAAAGAGAAGCTGGGAAGAGGGATAGGTTTTGGAGAGATGATCAGTTTGGGGCATGTTGAGATTAAGGTAATTCTATACTGGTGGAGATATCCCTTAGGCTGTAGTGATGCCTTAGATCACTAAGTAGATACCTTAGATATTTATAGGTGAGGGGCAGGAGGATGGGCAAAGGAGACACAGAAGGGACAGTTGCAGAAGTAGCCCAACTATGACTATAATGGACAACATATTCTATATATGTTATACATGTGCACATGCATAAATGTGTATGTATATGTAGTTTGATGTGGCCTAACTGAAAGTATTTGTGAAAGTGACTGTCACCTTTTTTTTTTTTATCATTTTAAATTGTCACAACTGAGTTTTGTTACAATAAATCATCTTTTATTTTCCCATTTAAAAAAAAAACTCAACAATTTGAGATCCATGAAGAGTAGGGACTGTCTTGCTCTTCTACTTATATCCCAAGCAGGTAGCTCAGAGTAAGCACTTAATACTATTTCATTATTACAAGGATTTAGAAGTTTACAAAGCACTTTACTCTCACAATGTATGACCATTTTACAGATGAGCAAGGTGAGGTTTATTAAGTTTAAGTGACAAACATATAGGGCACACCACTAGTGGCAGAACAAGGACTTGAAACCAGATCTAATCAATTGAAGTCCAATGTTCTTTCACCACGACACTGCTAGGACCTCTCATTAAAGCTTACATTTAGAATAAACAGAGCGGAGAATTTGAGGATAATTTTTATTGGTAAGCTGTTTTTTTCCCCCCAAAGGTATATACAAAAATCTCTCCACAGAAATCCAAACAATAAAGACAAAATATAAATATTTTACTTAAAATTTAAGGCACTACATTTTAAAAATAGTACTTTGTTTACATGTACTTTATTCACACACAGTATTTAATGAGGGGAAAATGATTAAACATTTCTAATCATCCTTTTCCCTTCAAACAACTACCTTTATCAAAAACGGCAGCATCTTCTCCAACTACCCCTTCCCTCCCTCTCCCCCCCACCCAGGTCTCAGAGCTTACCAGATACTGGCAAACAAAAACCATGAAAAAACACTTTCAATTTTCCTGTGTCCCAAGTAACTTGATATTCAAGCTCCTATAACAAGCATAACAGATCACTACAAGGAATATCATTTGAGAGAGTTCAGTTTTTTAGATGTTCAAGGGAAAAGCAAAACTGCCCCCCCTTCCATCTATCTATAAAGATACCTTCTATCAGTTTCATTCTTAATAAAAAAAAAATAGTCAAAATTCTTCTTACCACCTTTGACTGACATTGTTGGAAACTGTTAAATCTCCACTAATAAATATTTCATTTTTAAGTGGTATGTAAAAAGATATCAGCTTTACTAATCAAATATTTGAAATGCTTAGCAAAATATTATAGCAATTTTTGTAAGAAGGTTAATTTTACTAGGTATTTTTCCAGTGTACTACAGCAGCTCCTGGCTTATTTTCTAAAGTTGCAGATTAAAACTTTCATACTGTAAATTAACTTAAAGTATAATTTAACAATAAACTTTTCATTTTAAGTACTGTTCTTTTCTCCAGGAAGATATATATTAACAACAACAAAAAAGAATCCAACTTTGTTGGCATTAACAGATAAATGCATATTCTTGTTTTAAATAATTCATTAACAAACATGCTGCAATTTCAGAAAGTTGAGATTTTCAGAAAGGAGTCATGAAAACTTTTTGAGTATCAATAAGCCTACTGATTGTAAGGGCCAACTTCTGCCCCAATTACTACAAAACAATTGACTATCATATTTCAGGCACTTGTTCTAAAAACAGTCCAATACCCCAGATTTTAAAATTCTGAAAATATTTTGCAATTAGATTCTTTTGGGTTAATTTTGTTCTACAAGTAAGTTTCTAGTCTGAATTATGTAGCAATGCTTACAATAATTCATAAAAATAAACTAATACCCCCTTATATTACCTATTCCCTGGCCTTTGGGAAAAAGCAGATACAAATATTTGTCAAAAAGGTAAATAATCCTGAAATAATCTGTTTGTTCACGTGCCCTCAATAATCAATACTCCCTTTTACCTGCATGTACAGTAGTCACACTTAAAGTTATTTCTGCAGAGCTGGTCTGGGAATCTTCTCTAGAGGCCAACTGACCTGATTAGTCAAAGAATTCTGCTACCAGGAATAGGGCCAAAGTTGACCACACAGGTTGACTCAATCAGTTTGCTAACCAATAAGAGTGCCATATTCCATCATCACAAATAATCAAAAGTTAAGTTACTTAGAAAACAAAATATTTTGTGCAGAGTGTCTTCCAATATTGATGTTTACAAGCTCAGCTATTCAATATTTCACACTACTAACTTTTTAAAGATCACAAGTTCTATTAACCACTTGTCTCGGGCATTTCTCTGATTACAGAGACAAAATTTTCCACTAAATAGTGACTGAGAATGCAATGTGTTACCTTCCTTATAAGAATGTTAAATTTTCAATTAGCAAGGGAAGTGCCACCCTTGGGTGGAAGGACACTCCTTCATGATAAATCTTTGGCTTTAAGCCAGTCAAAATATGAGAAACAACGTTTCTGTGATACAAATAAGAACTGAAAATAAGGTCAACAAAGTTATTTGGGATACTCAGCAACGTCACAGTATTAATAAAAATCACAGTGTAAATAATTTTTATTCTTTAAAGATGACACACAAATAAGGTAAAAAAATCCTAACTCTCAGTACTAGTTCTCTGAACTACCAAACTGCCTAGAAAGTTGAGCCACCAAGAATGTTCAAAGGGGAGAGAACTTCTTAAACCTAATATTCATATATTTCCTAGTAACAGGATATTAGATGTTAAAATAAATAACATGAGAAAGTTAGCAATAGTAACCAAAATCAGTGATTAAAAAAAAGTATAGTTTTAATCCATGAGTTACAAAGATAGGATGTTTAAGTGCTAAAGTTAAAGTGCAAACTCCCCCCCCCCCAACTTACATTTAAGTGCAAAAATAAAATCTTCCTAAAAGGCTAACATTAATTAGCCTAATGGTTATTTGAAATTTTGCCCATGGACCTAATGTTAAAGTTAGGTTGCTGGGTTCTCTTTAAAAAAAAAAAGAAAAGAAAAGCCCAGGTGCCACACAGACACTAAATACGTTGTACTTTATGCAGGAAAGGCAATCATAAAATATTTAATACTTTGTCATATTTCCTTCTACATTTCTAATCTGGTACAATTCTTCAAGAAGTATGTGTAAGACCTCAGCAGACTAGAGTCATAAAATAAGAAGTATTTCTCAAGAATGGTGACAAACACACACCGGACTAGCAAAAATTTAACTCCCATTACCTTTCCTAAGAATCATTGCTTCTTAAATTGGATCTCTGCTTTCCTATTTCCTAACTCTACAACAAAGACAGCAATTCACCATATGTATATATTAGTTGAGGGGAAGGTCTTATTAAAGGTTAATACAAAAATATAGAAACTCTTTTCTCCCTGATACATGAATGTGCAAGAACTGCATGAAGAATTTTGTTTCATTTACATATATAAAGATTCACTAGAGACCCAGATACTTGCTAAGTTTTTGGTATTTGGAGGTACAATAGTTGCAAAAACAAAAAGTGGCATAAATAATGCTGCACAAGACTTTTCTAGTTTGCAAAAGAGATCACTTTTTAGCTTGTCTAGTGAACTCATCTATGGTCAGTGTAGTTATATTTGCTAACACACGGAAAAATGTATAAAAACAACTGTTAACATGTTTGGTCTAACTCCTTTGTAATTCTTTTGAACTGTACCTTTTGATGATATACCATCCAGCATAATTCTCCTATGTTTGATGACTTAACTCAAATGAGTGCTTCAAGACACAGTCAAGACTTTGCACAGGCTATCCAATCAAAGGATCATCATCATCTTCTTCTTGTAGCTGAAGACGGGAAAACGGCCGTGGAACAGACAGTTTGTTTTTCATGATAATGATGAGGCAGGTCAGAGTAGTTAACACCAGAAAGGCACCAATCACTATTCCGATAGCTTCTGGGAGATTTATGCACCATTGATCAGCTAATAAACACTTAGTGTTACTAAAAGTTCCATTGTTTGGATGTGGTTTTAATCCCAGGATGTGACACATCATAGGATAAATATCTACAATGTTAATTGTGCTGTGCTTATAGCCTTTGTGAAAAGCAGGACCATGGGCAGCCAGGAATGGATGCATGCTTGGCAACGAATTATCATAACCATGGTCACCTACTGAAAAAAAAAAAACCAGCAAAAACTTGTGTTAGTAAATACATTTTCTTTTTTGGTACCAAAAAATAAAAAAGTTTCCAATACAAGAACAGTAGACTCATGCATGACCTCTGATTAAGCAAATCATTTTGTGCAGAGATTCAAAAATCAAGGTTTCTGGATTATGGCTGAGCCAGCTTTCTTCCTCTAATCCATTCATTCCCCTGAAATCTTACTCAACCCCCACCACCTTCAAGTTTCAACTACGTTTCCCTCTCATGCTTCTTTTAGTCTCCAGACAAATTCCCTTCTACATGCTTCCACTCATCCTCACAATTTCCCAAAGCCTACTGCAAAGAGTGCTTCAGGTGGCAACCGTAGCAAGTGTAGTGAGCATAAGCAGCAACGGGAAGGATATAAAGGAGTAAGAGCACAGTAGGGAATGCAGAGTTTGAGAAAGCAAAACTGATTAGGTGAGGTCAATGAGGTGACAATAATAGAGACTAAGGATTACAAATAGTGGTTACCCATCTAAATGTGGACTACAGATCTAACAAATTCAGACTGCCACTGTACATTGCAGGAATAATGATTTCATGATCAGGAGTCATTTGATTAGCAAACCCTGTCTCCTCCCCCCTCCTCCATAATGCAACTTTCTGGAAAAAATTTCAGAAATACACAATTAAAACATTTTAAAAAAAACTTTTGGAAACAGAGACATGAAGCTACGAAATATAAATAATCAATAACCATTAAAAGTATAATACGCTAAGCTGGGTAGGAACAGTCAATCTGATTAAAAGAAAAAATATTGGCCCAATTAAATCAAAATTAGTATGTATTTTCAGGTATCAGTGTTAGCTCATAATACATTGCAAAATTATCTACGTTATCTACACAAATAGGATGATTATATTTGTTAGTATAAAATGCACCTAATATATCTAAAACAAAATCAAATTCACTTTTAACATTTAAGTGATCTCTGATCCAACAGGACCCAGGACCAGACTTTCTTAAACCACATGAATTTTAGCACAATTTTCATTGTTCCATGTCCAACAACTGTGAGTTATCAATAAGCTGGTATTTTTACTTTAAGAATGCTTCATGACACATAGCTTTTCCTGAAATTTTATATGAATTATTTTCTTAGCCTAGTAATAATATTTTTAGTACAGTGATGACATATTTATCTGAATTTGGGAGTGAGGTCTCATATATAAAGAATTTTTTCAGGTATTTTCAGGTTACTCCCAGGTAACAGTAACTATTTCTGATGGAAATTTAAATGTGATAGGTAGCAGCACTTCCCTCCTTTCACTGGAAAGGTGGAAACCTAAGAATATGGATGACTACTACATACACTATCAAAGATGGCTGACCTATCAGTTGATTATGATTAGTAAGTTGTTTTTTCTTCCTGTTACAAGGGTATATCCAGAAACGACACAGATGTTATTTGAAAAAAAAAAAGACGAAAGAAAAGGCATCAAAAATTTAAATAAAGTGGAGAGGGCAGACCTACAGAAGAAGAAAGTAGTAAGTACTTTCATTTTCTAAACAGGATGGCACTAAAACATAATGTAATGAGGTTCAAAATGAGAACCATATTTAGAAATCAATTTTTGTAGTATGCTGTATAATACAGTGGTATCATCAAGCCTACTCAGGTCCACAGGATTACTTGACCCTACACTAAATGGCCCCAGACTTCCATGCTCTTCAAGTTCACATGTCTATTTTTAATAGTCTATCTCTTCCCTTACTGAAAAGCTATCAGTTATTTCTTGCTGCTCTTGTTTGCTGCTTCTAATCTGTTCTAAGTAAGGATTTTGTACAAAGTTAAGATCTCATCAATAGACTGAACAGACGTTGCAATACCTACTGAGGCAGGTTTACAGCTAGAAGAGACTTCAGAAATTATGTCATAATTATGAAACATGACAAAATTCTACCAATTTTGAATGTGAGAAATGTCTCAAGTAACAAATAAGCATTTTTACATCTGATAATGTATGATTTGCTCCCTCCCCAAGCCAGCAGAAAAAGCACTTACATTTAAATGATTCATTAAGCACAATTGTCCAGCCTTCATCCGCAACCAAAAGAACTGGCTGAATTCGTTTATTGTGCTGGTAATGAAATCTTTCTGGAATACCATCTTTAAGATAGACTTTCATGTGAGTATTGCAGTGTTCTAGCTTTTTAAAAACATAAGTTTGATCTGGGAGAAAAAGGAAAAAGATGAAAAATTAGTCAATGAACATACTGCAAAGGAAAAATATGATAAGGATTAAAGAAATCACCTTGTCATTTTTGTCATTTTGGAGACTTATCTTGTATCTTAATACTTTTCTGAAGCTATTAATCACCCAATCAAAACGTTTCTCTGCTGATTTTCTAGGGTTTTCTAAGTAAATCATCATGTCTTCTGTAATAGAGACAGTTCGTCTCCTTTCTGCCAATTATTTATATCTTTAATTGCTCCTGTCTTCCTACTACTGCTAGCATTGCTAGAACTATGTCAAATAATGGGCATTTCTTTGCCTTCTGCATGTAATAGGAAAACTTCTAATAGTTCTTCATTGAAAGAAATGCTGACTTTTGATTTTAAAGCTGTATTTTCTATCATATAAAAAAGTTCTCTCCATACCTACAATTTTTAGCATTACTAAGTACTACATTTAGTCAAAGTGGGATTTTTTTATATGTACTGATATATTCATGTAGCTATTTTTAATTTGCTTAATGATCCTAAATGCTTTCCTATGTTGTAAATTGTGTATACCTGGAATAAATCTAACTTGGTTATAATGAATAATTTTGTGTGTGTGTGTGTGTGTGGGTAGTTGTAGTAGTCGTCTATTGGCTAGGATTTTATTTAAAATTTTTACAGCAATATTCACTGGTGATACTGGTCTATAGTTCTCTTTCTCTGCTTTATTCGTCTTGGTTTAGGTTATCAGAACCATATTTGTTTCAAAAAGGGAGTTTGGTAGAACACTTTCAATTACTCTTAATTTTTGTAGTAAAGACCTTACAATGTTTGATGGAATTCATTTGTACACCTGTTTGGTCAGAATTTTCTTTTCCTCTTCTAGTATTTCATTTATGCTTTGCTCAATTTCACATTTTGAAACTGTGTTAAGATGATTATTTCTTGTTATTTGAGATATTTTATGAATTTGTGTCATTAACTAACATCATTACCTAACAGATGATTGCATATGGTAGATTCTGATAATTCTTTTTATTTTCTTTTTGCTCATTATGAATTCACCTAGATTGACTCTGAGAAGAAAAAAGTATTCTACCTAGAATTTGTGTAAGCTATTTTTGGTATTCTCTCCCACTAGCAGGGTTTCTGACACCTGAATATTTTTGGAATAGTTTCCAAACTACAAACACCACCTAAGTCATCTATATTCCTTAAGAGACAGAATAATAACAACAATTATGTGATTATCTTTGGATACTTTAATTATACAATCACTGCTCTTTTACTGACTGTGGATATTATCTGTAGCAATTTTTAAAACCGCTTGCACAACATATTAGCTCCTGCTAACTTAGATGGCAAACTAATTTTAAAATCACTTAAAAAGGAAATCTAATTAGGCAGTAAACATGGAACAAATGCAAACGTGTATTCTGAAGCTAAAATAAATGGCTTTTAAATTATCTGTAGACTGTCTCTACTTCAATGGTATGAAAAATAACACATAATTTATATAATTAAATTGCCACCCTGAATATATATATCCAGTCATTTAAAACACACAAGCCAGAATTTTTATACCTCTTTTACTATAAAGTACAGATCTGCCTAAAATTAGAGACAAATTTGCTGAAAACCAGAAGTGCAACTTTTTACACTCCTCTCCTCCCCCAATATAATAGCTTTTCCCTGTCTAGATATATACATACTTTCTTTAGGCAGTATGGCAGCAACTGGGGTTGTGTCTACTATAGTATAGCTTGAGCGATCAATGCAGGCATCCAATTTTATCATTTTATCCTTAGAACACTGGGTCATCCCATGATCACTTGTAATGATCACATTTAGGCTTTCCCACAATCCCAATGTCTTGAGTTTATGGACAAGATGACCAACGTGGTTATCTACTTCTTTCAACACAACACTCATTTGCTCTTTATCTTCAGGTCCATATTTGTGTCCACTTGCATCTGGTTCTTCCCAATAAAGTGTTGCAAAGGTAACCAAAGGATCTGAGTTGTTCAGCCATTTAGCAATATTGTCTAATCTCTCATCAAATGTTACTGAAGAATTATAATTCATAAAATAGGAAGGAGTTGTATTGTGGATAGCCACATCAGTACCAGGCCACATAGCAGCAGCACTCGTTCTGTTTTCTTCAAGCTCATTGGTTACCCAAATGGGGGTTGCTTCATTCCACCAAAAAGGATCTTTGTCTTTGGATTCTGAAAAACGTTTTTGTGTTTCTGCATCATACATTGAGTTAGCCACGATGCCATGGTTTTCTTCATACAGGCCTGTCACTATACTGTAGTGATTTGGAAAAGTTTTTGTGATGAAAACGTTCTTAACATGCTCCACCAAGACACCTTCTTCGATAAAATTACGAAGATGAGGAAGTTCATACTTCTTTAGATAGTCAGCCCTGAAGCCATCAAAGGATACCAAGAGTAACCGGGGCACCAAATTATAGGTAGAATTACTTCTGCAACTAGTTATAATGCCAGAAAACAGAAGTGTCAACACTAACTTCATTGTGGACATCATTCCAAAAGGTAATAGCCAATCTTCCTAAAAATATAAAAATATTCAGTTTGGCAGTTAATAACTGATTTTTTTAAGTTAAAAATTATTGGAGGTCATATTTTCACTAAGTGAATTCAATTTAGCAAACAATAAAATTTAAAACAGAAAGATTACTGTGCTTACTTGAACATATCCACTATTTTTTTACCTTCATCTTTTTTTTTTTTGGTGAGGCAACTGGGGTTAAGTGACTTGCCCAGAGTCACACAGCTAGTATTATGAATCTGCAGCTGCATTTGAACTCAGGTCCTCCTGATTTCTATTCACTGTGCCACCTAGCTGTCCCTACCTTCATCTTTTAAAGAGGGGAAAAAAATCCCTAACTCCGCCCCCCCCCCCCTTATTATCTTGTACCTGATTGCTCCAGCTTCTCTGCTGCTGTTAGCAGGAGCTGCTCTGAGGGTTTGATAAAAATAGATGACATAGTATAAATGATACAATTCCAAGCAAAAAAAAATTTTAAAGCACTGTTTTTATACTTTAACTGCTCTTAATTTAATTTTCTGAGGGTCTATGAGGTTGGGGGTGGGGGGAGGGAAATACATTCCTGGCTTAAATGACTCTCTCTACTTCATCCTGGAAGGCACATCTCAGAGCCAGGGGAAGTAGAGGTAAATGAGTAAATATTGTGTAAAATAATTCTCTTCATTCAATGATTTCTTCTAAATCTGCTCCTAATTTGCTCACTATAGTTTGCCACAGAAAAACTTAGGAAGGGCAATAAGACTACTGTGTTTAGGGTGGGCAAAACATCAAGAAACTTCATCTAATATTTTCTACATTAATATGAACCATATTCCTCCACGCCAACTAGCACAGCACCCTTCTCTCTCGCTCTCCTGTCATTGTCAATAACACATTTATCATCCCCCTCCCTCAGGCTTACAACTTCAGAGTTAATTTTATTCTCTTCTTTTATCTCTATATTTTAGGCAGTTATTAACTTGTCAATCCTTCCTCTTAGGACCTAATTCTTCTTTCCTTCCATTTCTTTCCACTTTGAACAGCTTTGTTCAAATAGAACATTACTAAAATAACATCCTAACTGGTTTCTCTGTTTTCAGTCTGTCTCTACTTCTGCCCATCAGATACATCCTACCAAGATAATTTCTCACACACTTTATTCACGATACATTCAAAGATAATAGATTTTGAGCTGAAAGGGACCTTAGAGACCATTTAATGCAACCCTCTCATTTTACAGATAAGTAAACAGACTTAAAGAGGTTAAATGACTTGCCCAAGGTTACAGCTAGTTAGAGGGGCCCTTTGAACATAGGCCTTGTTCATAAACCTTCAGTGATGCCCCTATTGCCTTTTGTATCAATTCTTAATATTCTCCTGCCTAACATTAAAGGCACATAAGTCATCTTCATCATCACAACCGCCACCTCACATTTTTATAGAATTTTGTAGCTTACACTTTGAAGTGTATAGTACATCAATCACTCTTTCTTTTACAGATTAAAAAAAAAATTGAGGCCCTGAGATGTTGAACAATTTGTCTATGATCACATAGCTAACTCAAGTATCTGGGGCAAGATACAAACATGAGTGTCCTGGCTCCCAGTTCCTTCACCATCTCATAGTCCCTTCTCATCATCAATTACACCCTACTACTGCCCCTAAATGTTACTACTCCCCTCTACATGCTCTGCCCAGTTCAGGTTTCTCATTGTTAAGAACACCTCTGACCTTTCCCTTATGCTATTCCTCAAAGGTGAAATGCCTCTGCTTTCCAGTCAGTGCCCTGCCCCTAAGGTAGCAGATGCCCATCCCCACCCACTTCCTTAAGCCACTCTCTACTACTGCCTATGCTCCTCCCTCAGCTATCTATTGATCTATTGTGTGTGTGTGTGTGTATATATATATATATATATATATATATATATATATATACACACACACACATATATATATATACACATACATATATATGTATATACATTTTAAGTAATATTAAAATGTAACTTTTAAATGCTACATTGCTCTTGCATCCCAATTGAGAAGAAATTACTTGAGGGCAGAGGGCTCTATTTTCTACTTCACTTAGAGCACCTGGTAGAGTGCTAAGTATTCAGGTGCTTAATAAAAACTACTGAATTAATTTGAGTCACCAACTGGCTCTGCACTCCACTGTAGGTGCTAACTTGAAATTCTGAAGAAAATCACAGGTTTTTTTTCTGTGAAGATCCTTCAGTCTTGGAAGATTACCACACCCCAGCCCCAATTAACCCGAGATTACTGTCTTTGTGTGTAATAAAAATCACAACATACTGAAAAGAACAAGGATAACAAAAAGAACAGGATCAAACACCTCAAAAAGGCCCTATCACACTAACAATTTCTAACAACCAAAGAAGGGGAAGGATACAAGGTATTAACACAACATATATACATCCCACAAAGAATCCTCAATATAACTAAGTTATTTAAGCTACCAAACATACAGAGAATGAAGAAGAAGCATGGAAATCAAATGACCTGGGTTTAAAGCTATGTAACATGGGCAAAGATCTGGCTCTCCTTATCTTAAGTAAACGGAAGGTGTAGGACAAGATAAGGAGGCAGCCAGTGGCTCAGTGGATAGAGCACTAAGCCTGGAGTAAGGAAGACCTGAATTCAAAATCTAGCCTCAGATACTTCCTAGCTGTGTGATCCTGGTCAAGTCCCTTAAACTCTGATTCCCTGACAAACTGGATCCACTGGAGAAGAAACTGGCAAACAACGCCAGTATCTCTGCAAATTCAACTGGGGTCACGAAGGGTCCGACAGGACTGAAAACAACTAAACAACAAAAAGACAAGATGAGAAGTTTTTAACCTAGAGTCAATGAACTTGTTTTTAAAAAAAAAAATTTGATAACTATATTTTATTATAGTTTTCTTTGTAATCATATGTACTTTCATTTTATGCATTTAAAAACATCATTCTGAAGGGTTCATAAGTTTTGCCAGGCTGCCAAAAGGAATTCATGACACAAAAAGATTTAAAAATTCAATTTTAATTGTTTCGGCTAGAAGAAGACTTTTAGTTCAGAGGTTCTTCACCTTTTTTGTGTCATGGATGCAAAATTAATTTTCTTTAGGAACTATGTATTATCATTAGAAAACAAGGAAACAATATTTTTAAAAAGACAAAAAAGGAAAAAAAATTGTCAAAATATGATTGAAAAGCATTAGAAAGTAGTATGGTGTTTCCATGATGATGAATGTAAATCTGATTGCATTTTCACGGATTCAACTTTCTCCTGAAGTACTGCCACCTTCTGGCAAATATACTATACTGAATTATATATAGGTGATAATCATCAATCAGTTCCAAAATCTAAAAATTAAATAAAATCAAGGAATCAACAGTACCGTAGAGCAGCACTGCAAATTATAGAGTATTTACATTAGCATTTATACTAATTTTTAACATTTTACTCATCTCAAAGAAAATATATGCCAAAACAAAATTAGCATTGCCACCCTACCGGTTTAAAGCACATTAATTCTTAAGTGATGAAAAAGTATTTGAAAGAATACTTTTATTTGATTAATATATTTATACTATGGGGCAGCTAGGTGGCATAGAGTGGACAGAGTACTGGGCTTGAAGTCAGGAAGTTTCATTTTCCTGAATTCAAATCCAGCCTTAGACACGTAATAGCTGTGTGACCCTGGGCAACTCATTTAATCCTGGCTGCCTCAGTTCCTCATCTATAAAAGGAGCTAGAGAAGGAAATGGCAACCTACTCCAGTATCTCTGCCCCCAAATGAGGTCATGAAGAGTCAGACACAACTAACTGAACAACAAAATTTATACTACTGGAAGAAATCTGAAATTTTGAGCCCCTCTCTAAAAAGAAAAGTTGCTTATTTATTCTGATCATGATAGACGTCTTAAAATTTTCAATGCGTACCAAAGATTGGTCAAAGCTTCAGGCCAACTGTACTGCTATAAAACTAAAGCACACAGTTAAAGCAGTAACTTTTGAAGTTCACTTGTTGGAGGCTGCTCAAGAAGGTAGAAAGTGATCTAAATGTTACTACTGAAAGTTATCCACACAGTTCTCTAATCTGGCATTCACATTTACACTAAAGCCATCCCTTTTTGCCTGCTGTGAGGGGAAAAGAGGCAGCTAAGGGGCACAACGGATAGAGTGCCAAGCCTGGAGTCAGGAAGACTCTTCTTCCTGAGTTCCAATCTGCCCTGAGACACTTACTAGCTGTGTGACCCTTTAAAATGAAGATAATAATAGCACCTACATCCCAGGGTGGTTGTGAGGATGAAATGATGCAATATTTGTTGTAAAAGTGCTAACTAAGCACAATACCTGGCACACAGTAAGTGTCATATAAATGTTAACAGCTGACTCAGCATGCAGGGCCTTCTCAAGTCTATGTTCTAAGAGGATCATCCGAAGGAAGTTGCGGTATTCAGAGGGTTGAATATTACTGCGTCTGCCATCAGCTCTCCATCTATGATTCTATGAATATTCTAAAAAGAAGCATGATGGGTTTACACATAGATAGTTTTTACCCGGCCAACTCTGTCCTCGTACAAGGAAGTCTTACTTCAATGCCATTCTCAGGGCTCGAATCACAGGACCAGTTTAGGGACAAAACACAATAACAACAATATCTCTAGCACATTATAAACTCAAGGCCCTTCACAATGAGTCAAGTGGTCAAGTCAGATTATAATCTAGAATTCCCGATTAGGAGATTAATTTTTTTTCTACTACATCACACACAATAATGTTATAGTGAAGTTTCAGTCCAAACAACAGGTGTGAATTCCAAACCAGGGGGCTTTGCACATAAATATGACTTTTAGCATTATGACCTGATCACTTTCTGTCTCATTCTATATCTCCCAAACAAATAAACTCCCATAAAAATGCTTCCAAGTAGTTTTACCAAGGATTGGGATGTACGAAAGATGATGAGTTGGCCTCTAGTCTAGAAGACCCTAACTTTAAAAGTGCTGCCTAACAAAAAAACAACAACACACACACACACACACAAATAAATGTACTGCCTCTGACACATACTTGTTACCTGACCCTGTGAAGTCACTGAACCACACAATGCCCCAAACAGCTTTTTAACACCATAAATTGCAGTGTCAAGTGTAAATCTGCACTGATAGAGGGTCTTTCTCACCAGGAACTCCTTACAATGACAAAACTAAAAGACTGGTAAACAAACACAAGATTTTCAAATTTCTATACAAAAAGAAAATTTTAGAGAAGCAGGTAGAGGTCTAGTGACCATTGTTATTTCCCAGCAGTACCCATGAGTCCAGACTGTATCACAACACAACCCTCTTTGAGAAGTTAAAAACATCATTACGCTATCTCCTCCAGATATTTTTCACTCTTAAAGAAGTTCTAGCCCTTTTGAAGTTGGCATCTGAATACTCTTGACTTAGAGAAAGGTGTGTCACTACTCATATATCACCTGCAATGAAGTTTAAAATATCATATTAGCTCTACAAGCACCATTTACTATCTTACTTAGAATGGGGTTCTTAATTGGGAAATTTTAAATGGAGTCTTATCTGCCTAAGCACAGATGATTTTCTCATTTAAAAATATTTACGCACTGCATATCATGTAAGTATGCAACTTTTTGGCAGTTTTTCCGCAGTGACCTAGCATGTTAAGAAAAAGCAGTCTTGTGTTTAAGAGAAGGAAGTCAAAGTAAATATCTTTGAAGGCCCCTGTAAGCATTTACAAAGTCATATGATTCTATGACTTTAAATTGTTCCAGATACCCTAAATGATCAGAACTTAAACATTTGACAGTATATTTAGGACTTTACAATTGAGGTTAATGGAGTTCACACTAAGAACACTGAAAGTAACAAATGGCTGCTTCCCAGCACCTAAAACATAGTAGACACTTAATACCTGTTCTCAGACTTGGGAGATGAAAAAGTTGTTGCTTAAAATAAATAAAACCATATAAAGAAGCTTAAACACAGATCATATCCTGTCAGAAAGATGGCTTCAATACTTTCCCTTTTTACTACTTTTTCCACTTAAGTCTTTGCCTTTCCAGACCACAGTATTTAAAGCTGGTAAGGAATTCAGAGAATATCTGGTCCAGGGGTGGGGAACCTTTGGCCTGGAGGCCACATGTGGCCTTCTAGATCCTTAAATGATGCCTTTTGACTGAAAAAATTCAGTGCTTACCTTTGATCTAGTCTAATCTCATTTCATTTTATGAGGAATAAATTTAGGCTCAAAGAGTACCTTGGCTTCCCCAAGGTCCTTTAATCCCTTTCTTAAATTCTCAACCCAAACCTTTATTAATAACCTATTATGGGTCTAGGCCCCATAAATAACAGCTGCCCTGACTTGTGAGTCATTGGCTTTACGCTATTTAATGTAATGCCCACCCAGGTGTGTGTGCATCACATACCTCAGCTTAAAACGAAATCTTTAAGGCAAATAAACCCATCTGCCTATGCCGTTTCTGCCCACTTCACCCATTTTGTACCACATCCTTCCTGAACTTAACTCTTCCCCTTCTCCCCAAGAGAGGATGTACGCCTTCGGAGGTCACACACCAAAATCCCCTCGCTCCCCCACAGGGCACCAGCCACCAACCCCCTCCCTCTATATGAGGTGAACACCTTTTTCCTCCCCTGAAACCCCTTCCCTCTCACGTTCTTCAGGCCCCCCAACCTCCAGTCCCTTCTCCGTCCCCTCATTCCCCCTTTCTGCAGTATTTCTCCCCCTTTCTCAGCGCCCTCCCTCCCCTAAGTCTCTCTGGTTTTCCTCCAACCCCCTCCCCTCCGTCCCCAGCTCCCTCCCCCTAACCTCCCCTCCTGTCCCTGCCCTCTCCGCCTAACCTCCTCTCCTCTACGTCTCCAGCCCCCTTCCCCAATCTCCCCTCCCCTATCCGGTCCCCCGCCCCGTCTTCCCCTCCCCTGCCCCTCCTCCTCTTCCCTTGCCCGCTACTCGCCACAGGTTTCCCTTAGTGTCTGCTCCCCCCGCTTCCAAATCCACTGACCATGACTGGGGGGTAAAGGGTCACATTCCTCCCCCCACCTCCCCAGGGAAGAAAACTCCGGCGGGGGAGGCTGCGAGGACTCACCTGCCGCCGCCTGCGCCTCCGTCGCAGCCCCGGAGAGCGGAGCCTTGGGACACCCGGCCGCCAGGCGGTGCCCTGGGAAGCTGGGAGTACGGTGGTTGGGGCGGTGGCAGTCCCCCCACGGCGCCTGCGCAGCTGTGGCGGGCGTCCGGGTCGCGGTTCTAACAGCCCGGAGCAGCCGCAGCAAGGCCCGGAAAAGTGGGGGGGGGGGCTGTCGAGTGCCGGCCGGGCGGTTCTGACCAGCTGGGGTGAGGGAGGAGGGGATGGGCTGTGTGGGGCGATAATGGGGGGAAAGGGGTGTGGTGGGCCTGTTTGACACGCGCCCTACGATTGGCTGTCTGGCGAGGGTGGGATGCGATCCGCCCTCTGATTGGTCGGCCTCGGGACGCTCCTTGGACACAGGTGATTGAAGTGAAGCCCTGGCTAGTCCAGGGATGGAGTTCTCCTCTGTGAAGGGGACTTGGGCGGTGGGCTTTCGGGATCTCCCTGCTCCCGGGACCGAAGAAACGGAAAGGGGCATGGCTGGAGAGGTCCCCGGGAAATGACCCTTCTTTTCTGCCCCAGCCAGGTTGAACAGAGGCCAGAACTTGGACTTGTCCTTGCCTCAAACTATTCCCTCCCAGCTAACCTGCGGCCATGCATTCCCACAGCCCCCAGCCCTGCCCCTGCATCCCGGGGATCTGAAGGAAATTGGGGCCATGTTTCACCTAGAGGGGGGAGCACACCTGGGAGGGGAATGGCTGCCTTCTAGAGTTCAAAGGACTGTTAGTGGGAGAGGGATTGGGCTTGTTCTGCTTGGCGCCACAGCTTGGGGGTGGGGGGAGTAATTCAGTTCGAGAAGCATTTAAGTTCCCGTTGTGGACAAGTCACTTTACCGACCTAGGCCTCAATTTCTTCATATGTAAAGTGAGACGTTTGAGACTAGATTAGCGTAGCTCAACCCCAAATGGACCACTCTTAAAGTCATGGAGCTTTAAAAACTCTTTAGCGACCCAGGACAGAGAGATGGGAAATGCCGAGAGAGAAGGAAAAGGAGTAGTTTAGGTTTTTTCTTTTAAAAAATAGATTGAGAAGAGCTTTTGGCAATGTTTTGTAGAGTTAAGGACATAGATGATACCTGGGGAGAAAGGAGGAAAAGGAATACTATTTGTTTTTCTTTTAAAAATCACATAGGTTTAAGAAGAACCATTGGTTATAAATATTTTGTGGGCTTGTTAAGGACAGAGATTGGTGACCTGTGGAGAAAGGAGGAAAAGGAGTATTCAGGTGTTTGTTTGGGTTTTTTTTTTATCGTTTTTTAAAAATTAAGTTTTAAGAGGAGCCTTTGGTATTCAACATTTTATGAACTTGTTGAGGACAGAGAAATGGGGGAGTGGAGAGAGAGGAGGAAAAGGAGTAGTCAGATTTTTTTTTTAATTTTTCTTTTTAAAAATTAGATAGGTCTTAAGAGCCTTTGGTAACATTTTGTGGACTTGTTAAAGGGTTTGGTTTTTTTTCCCATGAACCAGTAGTTGGAAACATTGAATTTTAATGACCTCTAGGGTTCTCTGCCATTTTAAAAATCCTATCATTTTCTGTTATGTTGACTTAGAACCAACACAGAAAAACTTTACTAAGCAGAAGGGGCTTATAGTAGAGTAGGACTGACTTGTCATCTTGTAAATTTTGCTGTTACCACTTCTCCTTTAGAAATGCCACTATGCTGAAAGCACTGTATTATTCAGTTTTGAACAGTTGGCGGAAAACATTTCTCTGCTATAATGGGTAGGTGAAGTGGCAAGCCAAAGAGGAAACAGGAACTTCCCTCAACATTGACACTCACAATTCTGCATGCAACTCTTTAATGTCTGGATGGCTATCCAATATTGGATATTGGATAAATGGAAACAAAAGCATGGTTTGGATTTTTAGTAATTGATTGATTACCTTTTGGGCTATGAAATAAACAGGCATAAAATTAATTATAAAAAGTTAAACATTAGCAAATGTTATCTTCTGCCATTAAGTGTCTCCTATCTGCTAGGTGCTGTGCTAAGCATACAAAGAAAGGCAAAGACAATTCCTGCTCTGGAGGAGTCTAATAGGGGAAACATATTCAAATAGCTATGTAAGAACAGGCAAAAAACAGTATAAATAGAGTGAAGGCATTAGAAGGGACATTTGGAAAAGCTTCTTATGGAAGGTAGGATTTTAGCTGGGACTTGAAAGAGGCCAGGAGAAAGAGAGAAGATGGGAGAAAATTCCAGGCATGGGGGACAGTCAGTGAAAATGCTTGGAGTCTGGAGATGGAATGTCTTGTTTAAGAAACAGCATGGAGATCAGAAAAGCTCGAAGTGCTGATTAGAGGACATAGCACAGTGTCCAAAACATATAGATAGATATCTTAGATAGATAGATAGATAGATAGATAGATAGATAGATAGACATAGATATATACACATATATATGTATGTATGTATATATGTACATAAACATATATATGCATATACATACATACATACATATATATATATATACATACATACTTTTTCCTCCTTCTTTAACATCTGAATGAACTACAAGTTGAGAAAATTCACCTCCCTTCTTTGAAAAGGTACAGGATTATGGGTTTGCAATGCCGAATATACTGTCATACATCCTGTATATAAAAGGCAGCAAAGTGGTACAGTGGATAGAATGCTGGGTCTGGAGTTACCCCTGTGTTCTTGTGTACATTTAGAAGAGTCTTGCATTATGGTCTTAAGGATTTTTGTCTTCTCATGGTATGAGAGATTTATGGTCCTTGGGTTGTTTCCACACATCCTGTCTTCAAGATCAGTATGTTTTGTTTGGACAGTGAGCGTATTTTCTTTTAGTGTTATTTTTTTTGCTTCTCTTCTTCTAGACTATCCTTCATTTCTGTATATTTGAATTCTTAATCTGTTGTCCAGTTTTGTTTCTTTGGTGACACTTGCCATTACAGATTCCAGTTATTTTATTCTGCCCATTGACTGTACTGCACAGGTGACAAGTTCTGCTGTCATAATTATCAATCACTTTTGAACCACTCAGGAACAGTGTATTGTGGTTCCTGTTCACCTCACGTTCCTCTGTCTCATCGAGTGTTCTATTGTTTCTTCTTTGTTTTGCAGCATTTGTTCACAGATGCCTGAACTGGTTTACTAGACATATTTCCTTCTGTTTTAGTGTTTCCCATGTTGATTTATCTCCTTGTGTTCAAGGTCTTTTAGTTTTCTTTTTCCTGAGATTTTTGATAATGTCAGGCTTTCCCCACCTCATTTTCCTCTTATTCACATTCTGATTCTGATGGATCTCAAAGCGTGTCAGCTTCCCCCATGCTGGATGATTCATGGGCTCTGCCTCAAGTGACTTTTGGATTGACAGAACTGCCCCAGTTGGATGCTGAGCTCTTTCCCTCAAGCTTGGTGGAGTGCTACATATCACCCCCCCACACACACACACACATACTTTCCATAAATAGTGTCCTGTCCTAGTGTCCTGCCCCACTCAATTTGTTCCTCAGTTCCCTGGCCTGGTAGTGACCATTCAGAGCTTTGCAACATTGGGGCTTTGAGTTGATTTCTGAAGATTAGGTTTCTAGGCTCTGGAAAGAAGGATGAGAAGGGTGTGATGTTGAGCTCTTATTTCAAGCCTGCTTGAAATATGTCCTACTCCTTTCCCTCTGTTCTTTTGCTCTCCTGCAGAGATCTTTTGAAGCAGAGACCACTGTTCACCTAAGTACTGACTGTCTTCCATAGTCCCCAGCAAGTTTCTGCTCCTGAAGGGCTTCCACAGTGCTGGCTGGCTGTTGAAGCCACCTGAGAAAACTTCCACAGCTTAGAGCTAGGGTATCTGCAGCACTGGGAAGAGGGAGGGAAGACTGAAAATATTTTGTTGCAAGCCATGGGTAAATTCCTTAGATTTTGGGGTTAGCTAGAACAGCTTTGTTAACCTGTAGTGTGGGAGGTGAGGAAGAGATGTTGAGTAAACTCAAGGTAGGTGTCAGCTCGTGATTTTTTTTAACCCTTTGGAATCTGGGTGTCTTAGACCAGAGGTGTCAAACTCATGATTGTGGCCACAAAACTCCTGAGTGGGGCCCAAAAAAGATTAAAATATAATTGGGAAATGCTTAAAAAATTAAAATTAATACAACATAATGTTAATTTGTGGTTTTCTAAGTCAGTATGGCTCTTTCATGGATCCCATTTTATTTTAGCTTGAAATCACTGTCCTTAGAACATGGAGACAGCTGAACTTGCTTTATCTTTGGTGTAAAATTTATGTTTTGGAGAAGTTTGAGAGGTCATGGGGATCAGAGAAAATATCTAGTCCTCCATCTTGTTGCTTACATGACCCACATCCTTTTTACTATGTAGTTTCTGTTGCTGCCATTGTAACTGAGTACTCCTATGATGCTAGCATCTGTGCCTCTTTTGGCTCTGCCTTATATTCCTAATCATAAATCTGTCAAGATCTAGGGTTTCTTTACAGGGAGAAGAGAGAAAATAAATCCAAAGATGAGGTCATTAAAAGAGCATTTAGAGACTTCAAAGTGTTTTCTTTTGGATAAATCCTTGGTTGAGCTATTTATATTTCTTTCGCAATGGTAGTGTATTTTCTAGTTTAGTTTAATCTGTATAACTTCTTAATGCTATTTGCTTTGATAAATGGGTTTACTCACTTTTCACTATTTGTGATAGTCTTTTCTAGCATTTGATGGTAAGGAGTCAAGTCTCTGGTTGTAAGCTTGGAGTATCCTCCAGCTTTAAGGGATTAAAAACCAGGGAAGCTATTAGCTTTTTTTCATTTTGAACCAAAAAATATTCCCCTAGATCAGCAATATTTAGAACCCTTCTCTCTTAGATGAGAACAGTGGCCAGCCTTGTGGGCCCTACTCCTCCTTCCCTTAAGTAAGCAGGAATCATAGTCTTACTTGGAGACAGGTGGTCAAGATTCCAGAGATCCTATCCATGTCTCCCCTTGACCCCATCTATATGTTTAGACATTCTATGTGCACATAGCCTAAATGGTCAATAACATTACATACATAAAGAGGTGCACACAAAATGATACAGAATAGATGGATATCTTTGAGGAAAATAAAAT